GGGTTTACAGGCATATATCCAAGGAACTCGGGTGGGGGGGGAAGGGGTCAGGGAAGTCCTCTGCAGGTCTCATGGGGATACTCGAATCGATCGACAACCACTCCTTGAATCTCAGGTGGTAGTCCCGTGGGACATCCTTATCTTGTGTATCTTCCCTTCCTTCTTCACCTTCCCAGTCCCCTGTCCAACATACTTCTGCTACCCATCCTTCCCGGTCCCCACCCAGCCAGTCTCTGGAGAACTGAAGTAACCGTAGGAATGTGGCCGATCCAGTGTGACACTGAGTGGCAGCGGGCTGACAGGTTCATTACAAATTTCTGGGCTGAGAAAACGGGAGGATGGCCAAAAAAAACAAAAAAAACAGAGACCTCCCACCTGAAATTACAGCAGAGTGCTTCCCAGCCATCAGATCACAAACGATCTGATGCTGGTGGTTGCAACAACAGTGAACAAAGTAACTGCCACATTTTCTGGAATAAAATAAACTTCTGTCAGCTGTGATCCTGACGCCCTCCATACACTCCGTGATTGAAGCAGGGCTCCGCCCAATGAGATAAGTGCACAACAGCAAGCAAAGTACTGAAAATCTTCTATCCAGTGGGCCTATGGCCGACCCCACTCTCTTTTGGGGTTGACCATACCCCCAACGGATTGAAAAGATTTTGGCGGGAAGCTTCCTTTGCACCAAGCCTAGTGTTAAGGAGAGGAGGAGGGGAACCAAGATCTCCTTACTTTTTCGGGTAATACATGTAAAAAAAAATAAAAAAAAATCAATGTGTTTTGAGTCTGGTTAGGTTTTTGATTTTTTTTAAAATAATTTAAATGCTAAAAAAATAAAAATAAAAATATGGGGATGTAGAGCGCAAAAAAATCTACACCCCCCCCCTTTTTTTTATTTTATTATTTTATGCAAGCGAAAATAAAATTCGCGGGCCGCGTTGTACCCCGTTCTAATGCGGTATAGTGCAGCATTGTGACGGGGGTTCAACGACCGTTGAACCTTTCAACGGGAAACCCCCGTTGAATCGAGTTTCGGACACAGGCATCGGGTGTGATCCCGCGGGTGACGCCGAGATGGTGGATGAGGAGAAGGACGGTAGGGACATGGGAGGATCTCCGACAGGTTGACGACGCGGCGGAGGGCTACTACAAGGCGAAGCTGCAGATGTCCCCTGGCGTGTTTCGGGAGATTGTCGAGGCATTGTCCCCTGTCGGAGATCCCGTCTGTCCATCGTCGTCTTCCTCACCTGTCCATCGTGTACCAAACAAAGCTTGCATCAATGTGCCCAACAATAGCCGACAAAACACGCTAGGTAGATGATTGCAATCGGTCGGCAGTGCTTCAACATCTCCTGTAGAAAAATCAAAAAATTCGACCGTTGGACACCACGGCTGGCAACGCACGCACGGAAAACCCCAATTCGTGAAGCACCTTGCAGTTGAAGAACCACCCCCACGCATTTCCGCGCCAACGGTAACGATGGAAGGCTGTTGGGGGCCCGTCGGGTACTGGAGGCCAGCGATGTCTGCCCAATGGAACACGGACGACCTGTGCGCCAACATCGACTCCACATTCTCCTGCGGGCACTTACTCCAGAACACTCCGTCAATTGCGGCTCCTTTCACCTCAGGGACCTCGAAAGGACCCCTTGTATCCAGGGACGTTTTGGCTGGGGTTTCCGAGGAACCCAAGGAAATCTCTCGGGAGCGTTTTCACATTCATTCAAGGAATTTGGTGAATTAGGACGCAGAGTAACCATGCCGATTTCCTAAAAATCGGATTTCCAAGGAGGGTCTACCGAGGCCCTTACTCACCAAACTTGGTGTGAGAAAACCTGTCAGAACTTTTGCCGAGTTTCCTTTTTCAATCAGCCACAGAGTACGGCAAGTTCGCAACTTTGTACTGCTGTTTTGTGGAGGGTCGTGACCTCTCCACAAAACAACTTCTTAGTGAGTGCACAGCTTAACGAGTGGAGATCAGGGAGAATTTGTTTTCCTTTTCTGTAGAAGAAATATCGTGACCTCGAGTTGGACAGTATTCTAGTTTTTTCAACTCTCCACATCCACCACAAATTGTGGCGGATGGCCAGTAGTGCAACTACGCCCAGAGTCGGGACCTCGCTGCAAACTGGGCAAAAGTTCTAACAGATTTCCCCGCACCAAGTTTGGCGAGTAAGGGCCTCGTTCCACACCACTAGAGTTCAAGGGCAAATCCAAAAATCATCATTCCACGCCCCCCTTAGAGCCACCCGCTTTGTTTTCACTTTTTGCATCCCAACGGTGCACCCTTGAAACTCGAGGGCGACACAACCAAATTCCCCCTTGAATTCAAGTCACCTCCCGGAGGCACCTTGAGTTCAAGTGCCCGTGGATACGGCCAGCACTCCAAGTGGGGCCTTTGTTTTGTTCTTCTTTTTTTCCAGCAGGCTATCCTGGTCCAGGATTGGTCAGCAAGCCGTGGACAGAGATCCAGTTCAAGGGTTTCCTCAAGTGTACACGGAACCACACATCGAGTAAGTGTAATTTAACCACAGGTTTCCTCAAGTATTTTCAAGTGGTGTCGAAAGAGGCTCTAAGGGCCTCGCCACACCACTGAGTCTCTCGAAATGTGAAAAAGACAAAACTGTGGCGGATGCATGTGCCCACGTTCTGGGCCGAAGTTCATTCTCATTTTGCACATTTCGAGAGTGGTGTGGCGATGGCGTACGTGGGCCCAGGCGCCTACTCGCCAAATTAAATTTGGCGTACGGAGAGTAGTGCAACCAGGCCCTTACGCCGAAGCACCAAGAGCCTCGCTCCACTATTCAACATCGTACATGCACTTGGCCGCTTTCTGGATCAGGTGCATTTGGACAACTCAACCATTTTGATAAGCTCCAAATACATATTTAGTGTTATTTATTGGAGCGAGGCCCTACGCATTCTCCGAGTACCGAACCGCTCCTACCGGCACCGCCGAAGCTACGTAGAAGCACTAAACATTCTCGGACTCACCGAAGCACTCCCGCAGCCATCCCCCATCCCAACCGCACGCACTCCCACTCTCCTTCCGGTCGCGCCGTGTTCCTTCGAGCTAGCACCCGTCCCCGAAGCGGACTGTTTGCCTTTCCAGTTCGTCTGTCCTGCTTGCTTGTTTATTTGCGTTTTTCGCCCATCCCTGTGTTTTACTGCTTGTTTGTTTGTTTGTTTGTTTTTTTGTTGGTTTGGTTTGGTTTGGTTTGGGTTGGGTTGGGTTGGGCTTGGTTGGGCTGGGCTGGGCTGGGTTGGGTTTGGTTTCGGTTTTGGTTTGGTCGTGGTTTTGGTTTGGTTTGGTTTGGTTTGGTTTGGTTTGGTTCGTTTGATTGATCGATTGGTTGATTGTTTGATTGGTGGCTGGGTTGGGTTTGGGTTGGGTTGGGTTGGGTTTGGGTTTGGGTTTGGGTTTGGTTGTGGTTTTGGTTTGGTTTGGTTTGGTTTGGTTCGTTTGATTGATCCATTGATTGATTGTTTGATTGATTGATTGATTGATTGATTGTTCAGTTCGTTTCATTTGTTAATTTGGATTTTTGCTTGCTTGTTTGTTTGTTCGCGCTGCTACCGGTAAGGAGCAATTATTGTCTCCCTTTTTATTTTTTTGTTTTTTGGGTCTCGTGTCTCGACCCGATGAATTAGGTGAGGTCAAGTCCATTGTCGTTATCGGCTCCATTGTTCAAAAAAAAATCGTTCGCTGTCTGAAGAAGCGGAGCACATTAGTGAACTTTCCCGGAGCACATCGTTCAAAAAAAATTAAAAAATAAAAATCGTTCGCTGTTTGAAGAAGCGGAACGATCGTTCGATAAGAGCAGCCATCCCCTGTAGGAGCGATGGACACACTTTCCGTTTTAGGTAGGTTATAGCACTCTCGTTAACCGTGCTGTCTATCGACAAACTTTTCCTATTCGGTAGTTAGGCAGGAAGTACTGTTGTTATTCGTGTTACCGAATCACTCAGACATCCAACGGTTCTGTTTCGTTTTTTTTATGTATTTTTTTTTCCCCTTAGCGGTTCTACTAATTGCTGATCTGGTGGCGCCTGCAAGTGCTGATGATTCAGAGATGCTTCCAGAAAAATAATACAGTATAATATCCTGTCGATAGGCAGCGTTGATCCCCAGATCGACGATCGAGGATCGAGGATCGAGGATCGAGAGGATCGACGATCGAGAGGATCGACGATCGACGATCGAGGATCGAGGATCGAGAGGATCGACGATCGAGGACGATCGAGGATCGAGTAAGAAGAACAGTGAAAGCAGGGTCGAAAAACTGCCTTCCGTACATTAGTCATAAGGTCATCCGTACAATACCGAGCATGCTAACGTCTTCCCCCGAACAGAATGCACCCTCACTATGAATGTATACATGCTAGCTTTCCGATCCGGTACAGTCAAAGATTGCGGTGCGTTATTCATCAGTTTCATTAGTAAAATGCCGCGCATACTACCGTCTTCCCCCGAACGTAACGCACCCTCAAATATGAATGTATACAAGCTAGTTATCCGGTCCGGTACAGTCCAAGATTGGGGTGCGTTGATCGTCAGTTTCATTAGTAAAATGCCGGGCATACTACCATCTTCCCCGAATCCAGCTTTCCGGTCAGGTACAATGTATACAAGCTAGCTTCCGCTCCGGTACAGTCGAGATCGGGGTGCATTAATCATCAGTTCTCCAGAACAATGCCGTGCCGCGCATACAACGGTCTTCCCCGAACATAACGCACCCTCATTTTGAATGTATACAAGCTGGCTTTCTGGTCCGATACAGTCAAGATTGGGGTGGGTTATTCATCAGTTCATCAGCACAGAGCCACGCATACTACAAGTCTCAGCTTACTTGCACGAGGAGAAGAAGAAGCGCAAGCAATGGCCGACACTTGCTTTTACAGTATTATCATCAAACACGAAATCCACATCTTTTTCAAAAAAAAAAAAATAATAAATAAATAAATAAATAAAATCCACATCCTTCGACTAAAATGTTGTTCGAAATCCACTTCATTCATTATTAAAAAATAAAAATAAAAAAAAAATCCACTTCATTCAAATAGAAAGATACAAGTCCACGTGTTCGCAGAGCTCCGGGCAGACTCCCACTACCGGTAGGACTTGTCCCACTTCTCTCTGGACGGAAAAATCGGTCAGGTTCATCCACGCCGCCGGGTCGGAAATGTGGGCATATACATCCAGCAAGGCCTAGTGTTCACAGAACGCAGATCGTTCCTCGATCATGCCGTTTTCTGCGCTCCGCTCATCCCCAGGTGGCCGGTCCCATTAGCACAGAGCACTGGATCGAATTCCTGAATCTGGACTTCTTTTGAGGAAGGATGCAGCAAATTGCGATTGCTCTGCTTTCCTGCATCTCTGCACAAAACACATCCAGATTCAGGAATTAAATCCAATCCTCTTTGCTAATGGGACCACGCCCCAGGAGGCAGCCTTTCCTTCCGTACCTCCCTTTTTTTTTTTTGGTGGGTGGCCGTGGGTCTTTCCTCCCTACTACTAGTAATAAGCCCCGCCCAAAAACAAACAAAAAAAAAAAAAAAAAAAAAAGCTTGGGCCTCGATCCACTCCTCACCAAACCTGTGCAAGACGAGAATGAATCTTCCGCTAGAACATGGGACGATACCCCCCTCCGCACTTTTTGTCTTTTGTGCGTGTGGTGAGTACTACCGAGCGAGCCCGAATATGTACCACGACCAAAAACAAAAAAAAAAAAGAATGTACCACGACTTTCCCCTCTTAGAGGGTAGAGGGATCGCGTGCGCGCCCACCATCAGTCACGGTTAAAATGTCTCATGCATCTTTTTCTTCTTTGAACGAAAGCAGCAGCAGCAGGAGGAGGAGGAGGAGGAGGAGGAGGAGGAGGCCATACACTGCTTCTAGTAGTACAAGCATCAACAGATTTGCATGTCTTCTCCGCGAGTACAGCTCGCAGAACAAAAAAAAGGGGAGCAATTTCCCCTCAGGGGCGTTTCGGCTAATCAGGCTGCGCTGTTGGCACTCGCTCCTCAGGGGGCTTCTCCCCAGATACGCCTTCCTTGCGGCACCACCAGACTTTCCGACCAAGCAACTGAGAAGAAGAAGAAGAAGAAGAAGAAGAAGACGAATAGTGAAAGTGACTAGTGAAAACAGTGGCCATAGGCTGCTTCTCGGACATGCTTGAACAGAAAAGAGCAATACAACTCCGCATGCACAGTTCTACGAGAACAGGGATACGGAAGAAACTGGAAATGCCGCTGTCATCACTGGAGCGATGTCTCTCGATTCTGTTTTCAAAAGAAGAAGAAGAAGAAGAAGAAGAAGAAGAAAGAAGAAGGAGCGATGTCTCTTGATTTTGTTTCAAAAGAAGAAGAAGAAGAAGAAGAAGAAGAAGAGGAGGAGAAGAAGAAGAAGAAAGGAGTGATGTGTCTTGATGAAGAAGAAGAAGAAGAAGAAGAAGAAAAAGAAGAAGAAGAAGAAGAAGAAAGAAGAAGGAGCGATGTGTCTTGATTCTGTTTCAAAAGAAGAAGAAGAAGAAGAAGAAGAAGAAAGACGACGACGAAGAAGAAGAAGAAGAAAAGGAAATGAGAGTGGCGAGGGAAACGGTTAACGATCCAAGCAAAAAAAACAGAGTCTTCATAACAGCTGCTGCTGCCAGTCGGAAATTACTAAAAGCATAGTTATTCGTGAAGTGGGTACGGCGTTTCGGATCCTGAAGGGGCAGGGACGGCATTCCTACACCCTGCAAATACTTGTACACAAAAATATACCAGCTATTTAGAAAAAAAAAAAAAAAAAAGGAGCATACTAACACGGCTTCCTGCCGGCATGCATCGGACCGCAATTACGTCCAAAGACGAGTGAAAAGAAAGTCCTAGCACTTTTTGTGCTTATTAAAAGAGATAATACGTAATAACGACATATGCACGTCTATCACTCCATTTTCCACTCCGGATCTGCGGGAGCGCGGTCCCACTATGTAGCAAAGAGGATTGGATTTTTTGACGCCTGAATCTGGACGTTTTGCGCGACAAGTACCGAAAATTGACATCGATCTGCTTTTCTGCGTCTCTGCATAAAAGACGTCCAGATTCGGCCGTTCAAAAAAAAAAAGAAAGAAAGCATAGCTGGGAGAGCGAGGTGGCCGTACTGTCTCAGGGAGGAGAGGGGGGCGGCAGGTGGGAGAGTGAGTTCACCCACCGCAGTCGTCCCTCCATCACTTCCCCCAATGATTGACAATTGCTGAGTGTTTTTTATTTTCAGAATTTTCAATTTACCAACCGCCACTATGCCACGGGCGTACATGTAAAAAATTTTGAATTTACAACCGCCACTTTTTGTGTTTTTCTTTTTTCGAGTGGCAAGGGGTCCTCCCCCTACAGAGGCTCCGGTCAGGGGCTCCCAACCCCCCCSCCCCMCCCCMCCCYCCCCCYCCCCYCCCCYCCCCYCTCCCTCCTCTTCTCCTATCGCCAAGTCGATCTTTCTGTGAATGGGGCCGCGCTGGA